TACAGTGTGACTGTGCATGGGTGTATGTATGCATGTGCATGCATGCATTGTGCACCTGTGTGCATATGTGTGGGTGTATGTGTGTGCATGCGTGTGCCTGTGTGCACCTGTGTGAATGTGTGTGTATGTGTGTGCATGTGCATGCATGTGTGCACCTGTGTGTGTGGGAGTGTGTGTGCATGGCATGCATGTGTGGGTGTATGTATGTGTGCACACGTGTGAATGTGCATGTGTGTGTATGTGGATGCACGTGTGTGCATAGCATGCATGTGTGGGTGTATGTATGTGTGCACACGTGTGAATGCACGTGTATGTATGTGCACGTGTATGTGTATGGAGGTATGTGTGTGAATGTGCATGCCTGTGTATGTATGTATGTGTGTGCATGTGTGCATGTGCGTGCCTGTGTGCAGGTGTGTGGGTGTATGTGTGTGTGTGTGTGAATACTTGTGTGCGCCTGTGTACACATTTCTGGGAGAGATGCCAGCAGCGGATAGAATAAAAATGATCAGCTCATCTTTTTCCTTTTTGGCTGTGACTTTTGGGGACCTCAGACACTTATTTTGTGACCTAATTAAGCCAATCACTCTATCTTTAAATCCTGATAAAATGGCCTTCTGTTTTTTCTCTATGGTTTTAAACTTTCTTCTATATCTTTATTGCATCTGCTTTGTATACAGATATTTGTACTTGTATCTCTCTTAAACCCTTTGGGGTGGTGGAACTAGCAGGACCCAAGTGTGGAGATTTCAGACATAATTTGGAATGTGTTAGAAAAAAACTGCCCTCCCAGTTCCAGTGTGTGAAATGCCATTGTGATATTGAGGGGAGTTCCCATCCCCAGGCCCCTACGGGTCTTCCTCGTGGAGAGGCCCAGAGGAGTCTCCGGGAATTAGGAGTCCCCAGCACAGCCTGCAGACCCTTGTGCAGCAGCCTCTGGTGTCTTGGCCCACTTGCCCATCTGCCCATCACAGCCTGGTCACTGTACCCTCTCAGCCAGAGCTGCGGCAGCGCTGAGGTGGCAGCAAAGAGCTTCATAACTACAGCAGGGTGTTAACTCTGGGCATCGCGCTCTCTGGGAATGATCTTTCTGGAAGGTTAGCAACTAGAGATGCTTACTGGCTGTATGCAGAACTTCCGGATGGTGTAGTCGACCAAAACCACGCAGTCCTCCACGCACACCCGGATGTTTCCATAGGTCCAACAGCCTTGGTCGGGCCAGTACTGATGGCACTTTTCCTGCATGGAACAATTTCATAGAAGCAAATAAATCTGTGGGTGCACTGCGTCATGACATCCCCGCCATCCACAGAAGGCCTCACACACACCAGCTGGAGTCACACAGTTCCCAGAGCTGAGAAACAGCAAGCGCACCTGTGTCGACCTCATGAGTGGGGAAACTGAGGCTGCATAACGGGTGGAAGGCAGCCTTGAGGCTATGACGAGGACCCCGCAAGCCTTTCTGATTTAGACACCAACAATGTCTCACTTCTTCATTCATTCACGAATCCCATACATTTTATTAACTGACCATCAGCCAGTCATGTTGAGCCTACAGCCTTCAGAGCTGGGCACCTGACCCCAAATGACCCTCAGGCCAGGGGGCAAGGACAGTGCTTCCCCCAGACATTTACCATTGGATTCAGCAATTTGTATTTTTCTTGCTCAGTTCACTAAGGACAAAGTTAATTTGCCCCACTGCCAGTCTGCCGTTCAAGATTAATGAACCTATGATTGGCCTAATGACCTTCATTTTCTCTAGCAGGGACGAAGCTGCTGTGGCGTCTGCAGGAGGGGACGCATTGCTACAGACAGGCCCATTTCTCTACCTTCCCAACCTCTGAAGCAATAATGACCCAAAATACACGTTCCTGGAGCCCTTTCATTCTGTAGCACCGCACGAAGCACCTGCCCGGTGGTGAGTCCTCTATCAGGGCGGACTTCACGAGTGAATGAGGACCCACCTCAAGGGGAAAAGCATCTACTTCGTGTGCCAGAGAAACATCTCTGGAATGGAACAAGCCTGCCAATCATCAGAGAGTTTATCCTGGGAATGGCCCCTGAGCAGCACAGCTCATGGTCAAGTCTCCAGGATTAATAGTCTTATGAAACAAACAGCCTCTGGTATTTAGCAGGGAGCAGCATCCTTGTGTTACGACTGCCACGGACAACTTCCTCCTGCCTGCTCCTGGCTCTGGGTGGGGCTGCTGGTCACAGGGCATCTCTGACATAGCCCGGAAGAACTGAAAATGCCTGCAGGTCTCGGTTTGGGTGAGTCTTGGCCCTGTAAGGAGCCCTGGGGACCCTCCTGAGCTTCTCACCTTGAAAGTTTCTCCAGTGGGAACTGTGAAATGGTCTCAGCCTCTCAAGGGCTCGGTGTTGGTGGCTGCTTTTATGCCCCCTCCCTCTCGCTCCCTCCCACCGATCATGAGATGCCAGGGCAGCTGCCTTTTGCAATGCAGAGCCCAGGATGTGGAAGCCAAGGAAACCACAACAGAAGTGTGAGCAATTAAGAAAAAGGGAACTCTATTGAGAAATGATTTCATCTGAATTGGTGAGAATCGGGACATGGCAGCAGCCCAGCACTGAGTCACAGGAGTGGAAAAATCCAGTAGGAGGCGGTGGAAGAAGATGGAGAGAAAATGCCAGTGACATTTTCAGCAGAGCGACTGAGAGGGGGAAGCGGGGGCGTCCTCCAGAGCCCCAGCTTCTGTGCTGGTCTCATGCTTGGAGCACCAGCCCCAGGAAGACTGGTCCCTATCACTGCGGGTCACAGGGCACCCTGAGATGCCTGGTGAAGGGTCAGCCTCCTTTTCCCTAGTGTGGGTGTCCTCCTCCATGGCCGCTCCAGCACAGGCAGGGTGAAGAGTCCTGCTCTGGGAATCCCCTGCTTTCCTCTGTCACTCTTCCCTGTGACAAAGGATGACAGGGACGAGATTCGTAAGGGTGAAGGGGTGGTCCTCCCCAGTCCTGTTTCAAGCTCCCCCGAGAGCAGAACAAGAGCCCCCATCCTACCCTGACTAGAAACGTGGCTGGAGGCTGCTTCCTGTGTTTGGAGTGGCACTTAGTAAGCTGGCACTGTGGGGACCAGAGCACCTGCCAGCCTGCCCTTCCCTCGGGCTCCTGCCACCCATCTTCTGCCCCAGCTGAGCTCCCCAAGGCCTGGCACTCCCATTAAAAATGGCAGCCCTTCACCACAGTCCTTGCCTGGGCGCTGCTGGGGCCAGGCCAGTGGACGACTGAGGAGCTCAGGACACAGTAGGGCCCGAACAAGGCCGGCAGGGCACGCGGTTCCTCCTGAGCTGGGCCTTCATGCCACAACACGCCAGAAGCACAGCCTCCTGACTGTCGCCCCACCTGAAGCAAGTCTCCCTCCGGCTCCCAGTTCTTCTTTGATTCTGGAGAGCGAGCTCACTGCCTATGGCATGGCTCCCTGCCTGTCACTCAACACCTCCCCACTGGGCGCCCAATAGCCCCCACTTCTCAGCCCTGAATGTGAGCCCCCATTCCTTGCACCTGGGACAGAGCTGGCCCAGCACAGCAGATGCTAATGAGTACTTGTTCCATTAGGAAACAAATCATTTCAACTTTTCCTCTTTGTCGATGATTCAAATTCTTATAATGTACATGCATCCTTTTTTGAATTAGAAACAGCTAATTAAATATATTTGGATGGCAAATCAACATTTCTTCAATATACCATGTTTTCAAATGCATTTCTCTAGTCTGGATAATAAGCATGAAATCATGTTCACTTCTAGTCTGAGGTCTGCCGCATGACACGCTGGACATCCTAAAACTCAGTTTCTGAGATTCCTGCCTCCCATCACGCAGCCAGAGCCACGGGGCTGGCCAGGGTCCACTCTCCCTTGGGACAAAAGGGGAACCCTTTGTCACTGTTTTATCACAGATTAGGTAACCGTGAGATGCTTGGGGCGCAGGGGATTTGTTTTCTGATGAAAATGCTGTAAGCCACTGCCTGTGTTTGGGGTTTTCTGCAGTGACAGTGAGGGGAAGGGTGGGAAATAGGAAGAGGAAGTGGTAAGAACGTCCAGCCCCGCAGCAGCAGCTGACAGGAAGTGACCCTGGAGTCAGATGCCAGGAGCTCACCTCTTTCCTTTCTTTCAAGTTCGTTAACATGACGATGGTCGCAGACTTTTGCTCCCAGATCTTTCTCCAAAAGTCATTAACGGTTTCCTGTTTGGGGCCTGTGTGTAGAGGACAATTCCGAGGTCAAAAGGCATGAAGGGAAGTCGCTCTGGGGTCCCAGCACCCTGGCCGCTGGCCCCTTCTCGGCCTTGTTGGGGCACACACTTCATTCCCTGAAGTATTCCAGAAATGGTGGGGGCTGCCTGTCCTAGCACCCACCCCACTCCAGCCAGAACCCCTCCGAGGGCAAGGTCATTAGGCCCAGGTGGAGTTCCTTACATTGGCAGATAAGAAGCAAGGTTCAGATGAGGGCTGTGTCAGAGAGCTGGCGACAGCCTTGGGAGAGGCAGAGACTGCCCGGCCTCACCCTGCATTCCCAATCTCCTTTTCTTTGACAAAATCTTTCTCTCAGCATGATGCTGTCCAATAAGAGATGAGCTAAAGTCCCTGGAGCGGGGCATCTGAACAAAAGACAAAATGTCACTAGGAGAAAGTCCTCTGCACCTGTGTGCTTCCTGTCTGAGCCACAGCTATTCTGTAGCCCTGAGCCAAGCTCTGCATGCTGAGGGGGACGGGCCAGGAGGTGAGGAGGGCCCTGCTCCGCTGCTGTCCCGCCCAGGGCTGCCTCCCTGTGGGTGTCTGCTTGCAAGAGAGAAATCCTTGCTTTCATCTGTTTCGGCCCGGATTGTCAGGTTTCCCGAGGTTTCCAGCTGGGCACATTCCTGATGTCCTCTGCGTGTGCACGTGTGTCCTTTTTTCTTAGATATCCTGCATTTGTAACAACTTCCCAGGTGATTTTGAAGTATGGTGAAATTCAGAGCTCACTGCTCTAAAGACTCCTGGCCTAAGTCTGAGGAATCTAGTTTCAGCTCCAGTGATGCCTAGCTGCACACCCTCCAGGTCCTGCAGGTGGCAACCCCTGGGGGAATGATGCTGGGTTCAGTACTCAACAGACAAGGGAGAGCTCTGTGCGAGCTGAGGGGCATGTTTTCGCGGCTGAAGTACTTTTCAGATCGTTACCGCCTTGATCTGAAAAGCTACTCACCCCATCACCCTCCAAACTTGGGGGCCACCTAGTGCTCAGCCAGCTGAGAGAAATTCAAGGTTATCTGATGCAAGTATTAGCATGTCGAGTGGCAGCTGGGGCCACCCCATGGCCTGTGTTCACACCGTATAGGAGTGGGGATAACTAAGTGTGTGTTTCTCTGACTGTCTACACATATCCATTGTGTGAATGGAAATCTAACGGGTCTGTGAGGTATAAACACAAATACAAAAGTCCAATATAAATCCTTGGTCTTTTTGGCATACAGATAAGGAAATAAGAGCCATTCACATCATTTTACCAAAAATACCTTCAGATATTAATAAAAAGCTTACCTTGAGCTGCTATGAATTTATTCTTCTCTTTGTAACCCTAGAAAAAACAAAATCAGATTTACATTTTTTTTTCAGGATTATCTTTGCTGAAAGGATTCGTTGTCATTGCTGTTAGGGAAGCAATATATACACACCACAGAGAATTTGCAAAACACAGGAAAAGGTTAAGAAGAAAGAAAACTCACCAGCAATTCCAGAAATAACAAGTCCTATTTCATAGTCTCCTCTCTAGTCTGTTTCTCTGCAAAACCTTTCCCAGACTCACACACAAGCAGACATTTCTATGCTCTAATTGGGTGAACATGTACAATTTGATTTATGTTGTATTTTTAATGAGAATTTTATAATTTACATTAAGTAATCTTTTAAAGATCAACACAAATGGAGTTCTAATAATCCACTGCACATAGTTTTACCACCATTTGTTTAACTGCCCATTCTCCCTGTTCTATTTGGTCAGGAATATAAATAATGCTGTAATGAACATCCTCTGTGCTTATCTCTGTCTCTTGAAATCAAATTCCCAGATGCTGATGCTACCTTGTAAAGCACGGGCAGTTCCATGCCCTTTGTGCTTGGGGCCAAACTGCCCAGAAAGGTTGTGACAGTTTACACACCTGGCACCAGACAAGAAAGTGCTCACTGGTCATGCCTCGCCCTCAGCTGGGCCAGGGGAACCGGAAGCCTCTGCCCACTTACGTCTATGTATGAAGCATTGATGTAGTCTGAACAGGGAATTCCATCCGCTTGGCTCAGAACCACCCTCGAATGATCATCTGGAAAAAACCCAAACAAAGCCAAGATGTCAGGGCCAGGAATGGCAGTGCTGTCTCTTCATCTGCAGTGTCAGCTGCTAGGAAGGGCAAAAGCAGCTTCACAGCGACACTGGGGGTGGCAGAGATGTTCTTCTTCAGTGTTCCCAGGGAGACCACTAGTGTCCCGTGAGAGAATGCACCTGCTTTGGTGAACACTGACTGTCTCAGCTGTGGGACGACGACAAGCGTAGGATTTCAGTGTCCAGAATGGGGGCTGCTGGATCATCACATAGACAAGAACAGAGGATCACAGATGCGAACAGCAGAACCTGCCAGGCTCCTGGCTGTGCAAGGGCTGTGCTTTATGAATCTCACACTGGGCCCCAGTATTGACAAGTGTGGGTGCACGTAGAAAAGCCCCAGGACAGAATGAGTGAGTCCACTCTCCCAGGCTTCCCTGGGAAATGAGTACCAGCCCCATGAGGACAAGTGGATGTGGGGGGCTAGGACTGGGGACTCTGACCCTCAGTCCCACCACCAGAGTGTGTCCCAGGACTGGAAGGTAAGCATAGAGAGGGCCACCCAGTAGAGCCAGCCAGCTGCAAAGCAGGTTCCCGGGGTGGAAGTCTGACCATGGAGTGCTCTGTGTGTGGGGTGTGTGTGTGCATCTGGATGATTGTGGTGTGACTGGTGTGTTGTGTGAGCCTGATGTGTGTGGTGTGTATATTGGTGCAAGTGTGTTGTGTCTGTTTGTGGTATCTGCGACTATGTAAGCGTAGTATGTGCTGTGTGTATGTATTTTTGTGGTGTGAGTGGTGTGGTGTATGATGTGTGTGTGGTGTGTACTTTGGTATGAATGTGTTGTGTGTCTATGTGTATGGTGTGTGGTGTGTTTGTGTAGTGTATGTGGTGTGTGTATATGTGGTATGAATGTGTGTAGTGTGTGTGGTGTGTGTATTGTATGTATGGTGTGTATATGTGTGTGTGTATGTGTGCAATGTATGTGTGGTGTGTGGTGTGTGTGTGTATTGTATGTGTGGTGTGTATGTGTGTGTGGGTGTGTGTGTAATGTGTGTGTGGCATATGGTGTGTGTGTGTGTGTGTATGGTGTATGTGTGTAGTGTGTGTGCTATGTGTGCATGTGGGTTTGGTGTGCATGTATAGTGTTTGTATGTGTGGTGTGTATGTCTGTGTGTGGTGTGTATGTGTGTAGTGTGTGTGGTGTGTGTATTGTATTTGTGGTGTGTGTGTGTTGATGTGTATGTGTGTAATGCATGTGTGGTATGTAGTGTGTATCTGTGTATATGGTGTGTAGTGTGTGTGGCATATGTGTGTAGTGTATGTGTGTATGTGTGTGCTGTGTTAATGTGTGCATGTGGGTTTGGTGTGTATGTGCAGTGTGGTGTGTACGTATGGTGTGTATGTGTGTAGTGTGTGTATTGTATGTGTGTTGTGTATGTGTGGGTGTGTACGTGTGTAATGTATGTGTGGTGTGTATGTGTGTATATGGTGTGTAGTGTGTGTATTGTATGTGTGTTGTGTGTGTGTGTGGGTGTGTACGTGTGTAATGTATGTGTGGTGTGTATGTGTGTATATGGTGTGTAGTGTGTGTGGTATATGTGTGTAGTGTGTTTGCTGTGTTAATGTGTGCATGTTGGTTCGGTGTGTATGTGTAGCGTGGTGTGTATGTGTGGTGTGTATGTGTGTGTGGTGTGTGTGTGTAATGTGTGCTGTGTGTGGTATATGTATATGTATGTTTGTTATGTATGTATGTGTGTGGTGTGTACGTGTGTATATGTTATGTGTGTGGTATGTGTATGTATATGCAGTGGGTATGTACATGTGTAGTGTGTGTGGTCTGTATGCATGGTGTATATGTGTGTGGTACATATGTATGTGTGTGGTGTATGTTGTGTATATCTGTATAGTGTGTGTGTGCTGTGTATGTGTGTAGTGTGTGCAGTGCATTTGTGTGGAGTGTGTGTCTGGTGTATGTGTGGAGTGTGTATGTGTGTGTGCTATGTGTGTAGTGTGTGTGGAATGTTTGTGTGTCGTGTGTCTGGTGTGTGTGGAGTATGTGTGGTGTGTACGTGTGGTGTATGTGTGTGTGTATGTGTGTGGTGTGTGTGTGGGGGTGTGTGTGTGTGTACGCACCCGTCAGGGCTCCATCATGACTTTTGTGGGCTGCAGTCACTTCTGCCTCCCCAGCTTCCTCCGTAGAACTATGAAGGTTGTCTTAGGACTGGCTTTGTTGCTAGTGAAAGCATGCACTCCAGGATGGGTTTTGCACATTTGGTTTGTGATGTGAAAAGAAACGAAGGCTGCAGAAGTGCTGTGGGCCTGGCACTGCTCCTCCTGTGCACAGTAGAGAAGCCCCGACCTGTCCCAGGAATGTCTGGCTCAGCCAGGCTGGGACGAGGCTGGCTCTGAGATGCTGATGCTGCACTGGGCAGAGTCCGGCCCATGGCAGTAGGAGCTTTGGGGCTCGTTCCTGACTCATTGTTGAGTGACTCTAGGTCCACTCCCTGCTTCTCCTCTTAGCTCCTGATCAGAGTGGATTGTGTTTGTGGCATTTGTGATACGGAGCTGGGCAGCCCCCCAGGTCATGCCTTGTCTGTCTCACCTTCACCTGGAAGGCTGTCAGGTGGGCCACAGGTTGGTGGCCTGAGACCCTCGATGGCTAAGCCAGCTCTGTCTGGCTGCCAGCAGAGAAGGGGCAGGTACAGGTCTCAGAGACAGTCACAGCCCAAACAGGGTGGCCAGGGAGTTGGACCCCAAACTTACAGTCCTGCAGACCTCACCATGAGACCCTCCTGCTCAGTGACTGGCAATGCCCAGGCAGATATAGCTCTGCTGAACACGTATAACACTAGTTGAAAATAATCTGGAATGGTTTATGCTTTGAGGACAGCTATAGAAAAGCACAGGGTAAAATATAGCCTTCTGCTTAGATTTAGAATCTTGCAGTTTCTAAGAGCTTCCTGTCTTTTTATTCTAAAAAGTCACACTTCACATTCAAAACATTATTTCCTAAAATTATCAGCTGTTGGCATTTTTCCAGAAAAGAAGCCTTGCTTGCCATACGCCACAGAGCCTTTCTATAGACAAAAGTCAAGCTTGCCTGACAGGCAAAACACCTTGACCTCTAACCCCACAACTCCCAAGGCCACATGCCTGCCTGGAGCCACGGGCCATCTTGTGACTCTGGTGAGAGATTGGGAAAGGCAGGGAAGGCGCCAGCGGCTGTGGCAGTTGGGTCCCTTCTCCCTTCTCCCCAAGGTGACTCTCAGCCCCACCCTAAGTGATACTAGAGGCTGTGACCCTGGGGGTGGGTGGAGCAGTCCTGAGAGCTCCCGGCCTGATGTCCCATGATCCAGCTCACCTGTCCTGGTCCCGGCAGGGACCCCTGAGGTCATTCTGGCCAATTGCTTGGTGTAATCAGACAAGCCTCTCCTCAGCCTTTAGTCTTCCTGATGCCTAATGCCAGATGCCCCCCGCATTAACCCTTGCCAGGCCACACTGTCTCCCTGCCACTGTTCTGTAAACTTATCTTTCCAGCAGTGAGAAACATGCCACGTCCTGGCAGTCCTCCAGCCCCGGAAGGCTGCCTGTGCCTTGGTGCTCCTGCCAGGAGCAGGGAACAAATCTTACAGGGTAGGCTAGAAAAGCCTGTTCTGAACCTGACTACGCTTTCAGGCTTGGAGGAAAGGCCAATTGACTCCTGTAGCACAGGAAATGAATGACTATTTGACAAATTTCTCCCAGTTTTCATTGGATCATGGGCTCACAGTGGGGTTCTGTAAAAGCCACACACCAATTCTATGCATGTCAAATGGGAAATAATTATTTCTGAAAAGTGCACAGTTTGGACAGACCAAAGATCGGACAGACCATAGCTGCTCTGACATACGGAGCAGATGAACTCAATTCTAGTCCTAAAAATGCAGCAAGAAGCAGCATGCCAGAGCCCACATGGGCTGCCTTCCTCCGCCATACCGAGGCCCAGGCCAGGAGGGGCGGACCCCTCTGTGGACCAGGCGGAGGCCGCAGGTTCAGGATTCAAACCTGAACTTAGTGGAGCCCTTTGAGGCTGCCCTTCTGTTAGCCTTATGGGCAAAGCAGATAACGGGAGGGGCCAGGTGGGTGAAAGATCCCAAAACCACTCTGATGCCCAGCCAGCTCCTTTTTTTTGAGATGAAGTTTCACTCTTGTTGCCTAGGCTAGACTGCAATGGTGAGATCTCAGCTCACTGCAACCTCCGCCTCCCGGATTCAAGAGATTCTCCTGTCTCAGCCTCCTGAGTAGCTGGAATTACAGGCATCCACCATCACACAAGGCTAATTTTTTGTATTTTTAGTAGAGACAGGGTTTCACCATGTTGGCCAGGCTGGTCTGGAACTCCTGACCTCAGGTGATCTACCCGCCTCAGCCTCCCAGAGTGCTGGGATTACAGGCATGAGCCACTGCGTCCAGCCAGAGCCAGCTCTTACAAAGGCAGCTCAGAACCTCTGGGGTTTGTGTGGTGCCGAGACAGGCTGTGAAAGCTGCCTCCAGGTCATGACCCAGCCAGCTGGAGCAGATCACTGAGATGACCTCCACACATATCCGTCTGCTCCCTGGCCCTGCCACCTCCTGGCACCCGCACTCCCCGGCCCATGACCACTTGTACTGTTGTGGTTAGATCAGGTCAATTCGGAGCCTTTCCACAAAGCTGCTGCCCACCTGAAAGTTTTGTTTCTTGTCATTTTTGTCTTTGGTTCAGGACCCCAGACAGCTCTAGGGATTTGCAGCTCATGGCCACAAGCACTGAGTCTGAGGGAGGGGAGCTGCCCAGGGCCACTGGCAGGCCTAGACTGGGTCCCAAGCTTGAGTTCCATAGGAGGGACCCTGCCAGCTGGTGCCCCTGGCCATGAAGCAGCACCCTCTCCTGCTGGGACCCAGGCAGCCCAGGCCTCAACAGTAAGCATAGGCTTGGCAGCCAGATCCACGAACAACCAAGGTGCTCAGGGCCTGTGCATTGAGACTGGCACCCAGAGAGGAACATTCTGGAGTCCTAGGTGCACATGCTGAGCAGTTAGAGTGATTTGGGGCCCCAGTCTCTGGCCTCTGAGCACCGGGAGTGCCCTGTGGTCATGGGAGCTGCAAGGCAAAGCTGACTTTAGTGCAAACACCATCAATCATGCAACAAATAAAATGAAATCTTACTGGGAAGGATGTTGGGGTATCTGTTTTTTTCTCTGTTTTCTTCTTTATTTGCCAGTTCAAAAGTTCCTTGTATGTGTCCAGATGGTAATGACTGGAAGAAAATGCAGCATTAGTATGAAATGTGATGGATTCCAGCACCATGCTCATGTCAGTTTCCCTACTGAGCACAGGAATTATGAAAACACGTGGAGCGAACTACCTGCCATCCGTAGTTCATCTCTGCCTCAGACCTTGTACCAGGCACAGGGCAGAGAATGAAGGAGACATAGACCCTGGCTTTCCCCAGGGTGCTCTTTCTTGTGGGGGCAAACAGCGTTGTGGTCAAAGTGATGGTCTCATCAGCCAGACCCGACACTGCATGAAGGCAGAGGCTTGCCTGCTCATTTCCCTGGTATCTCAGGGCCCATAGGTCCTGGCTCAGAGCAGGCACCTATGATTTGGTAAGAACTGACCACCACAGAGCTGTGAATTGGGAGAGAGGAGAGTGAGGACAGGCATATGGAGGGTTTATAACAGGATGCTGTGACTTCGGGGCTGAAGGATGAGTGGAGTGGTCCTGGGAGGGAAGGAGCAGGAAACAGCCTTAGATACAGTCCTAACCTTGCTCAAGACTCCAGGCGTGCTCTGTGGACCAGTGGCATGGGCACGCCTGGGAGGGTGCTGGTTAGAAATGCAGACTGCCCGGCCGCACCCTAGACCCACAGAATTGGCATGTACATTACCAAGATCCCCAGGGCTTCGGTGCACACATCTTTGGGAAGCACCATCCTAACCAACCCCTTTGTCCCAGTCAGGGAAGTCAGATGTGAAAGGAATGCCGCGGGGCCCCTATCCCCTATGAGCAGCGTAGCTGAGTGTGAACTCTGGTGGCCTGAATTCTAGTTCTTTCTGCCGCCTGGAGCCGCCGCCACTGATTCCAGGTCACCTCTAGCTGTCCTGTGTCTGCTCGCTGCCCAGGTGAGCTCCCCACAGTGCACAGTATGAAGAGCCTCTTGAAGTCTCGAGTCCTGTCCTTCAACATTACACCCCGCCAGTTGCAGGACCCAGGGCCACTGGGATTCCAGTAACATGCGTCAGTATGCAGTGAGTGCTTCAGTGTGCCAGGCACGGTGGAAGGAGCTGGGTCACCGGCCCCAGCCTTCCCAATTCACCTATTATTAGGTGACACTAGGATGGTCCCCGTTTTATGAGTGAGGAAACTGAAAGCCAAAGCAAGGTGTTGTAGATTTGTCCCAGGTCACCCAGCAAGCAGGGGCGGGAGCCTGAAGCAGCACCCAGACCGCCAGGAGGATGCCCACTCCTTCAGATGTGGGAGAATTCGAGGGGTCCCTCTGCAAGTACCCAGGGGAGCAGAGCAGACCTCACCAGGTAGATTTGGATCCAAGCCATGCAGCTCTGGGCTTGCTCACCATGCGGGGAAGGGGCCTGACCTGCCGCCCACAGGTGTCCTAAGCTTTCCTCCCCCGAGGGCAGGAAGCTTCTCCAATTGCAGACTCAGATCTGACCAGTCGGTGCTCATGGGAGGGGCACCATAGGCCACCTGTTTCCTCTGCTTTGGGGCCACCAAACCTCATGGCCACAGAATGAGGCCCTTCCAGGCCATGGGGTTTGTTGGTTCCAAAGCAGAGACAAGAGGGTGGTCTATGTGGAGGGACCTGCCTGGTGGCACTGCAGCAAGGCTGCTGGGTGGCTCTCGGCCTCATCCCCAGCCACCAGCACCTACGCCGCCTGCAGTTCCTGATTCTTCATTAGAGCTGTCTTAATACTGACCTTCTTCACCTAATCTAAGCCTGACATTTGTGGTAACATTCTAGAGCTTTCTTTTCCCACCCTCAAAAGCTATTTTTGGCCCTAGCACTGAAAATACACAGGAGGCATGATACCGGATAGTGGGAACTGTGCATTTGTCAAAACCCACAGAACACACAACACACACCCTGAAGTGTGGACTTCTGCGAGGAACAGCGGAGCAGTGTTGGTCATCAATTGCAGCAGCTGAAGCACACGAATGCAGGAAGTTAATAATAGGAGAAGCTGCTCACAGGGAGGAAGTGGGTATATGGGAACTCTGTACTTTCTGTGCAGTTTTTCTGTATACCTAAAACTGCTCTAAAATAAAGTCTATTAAAAGATTAGTTAGGCCGGGCATGGTGGCTCACGCCTGTAATCCCAGCACTTTGGAAGGCCGAGGTGGGTGGATCACCTGAGATCAGGAGTTCATGACCAGCCTGGCCAACATGGTAAAATCCTGTCTCTACTAAAAATACAAAAATTAGCTGGGCACCTGTAATCCCAGCTACTTGGGAGGCTGAGGCAGGAGAATCACTTGAACCCCGGAGGTGGAGGTTGCAGTG